TGTACTTGTCCGTCTTATCCCCACACATGCGCTTCACCTCGGTTGAGTCCCAGCCGTCGGGGTAGATCAGACAACCAATCATCAGCCCAGTAGCTGTGGGGAGAAGGAGATGTGACAGCACAGAGTCATGGAATGGTTTGGGTTGGAAGGGACCTTAAACATCATCTACTGCCAGCCCAACTGCCACAGCCAGGGACAGCAGCCACAAGCTGCCCGGTGAGCTGGTGTGTGGAGATGGCAGGTGGAAGATTTAGATCACACACTAGGAAGAAATACTTCCCTGTGAGGGTGCTGAGGTGCTGGCACAGGGTGCCCAGAGAAGCTGTGGCTGCCCCATCCCTGGCAGTGTTCAAGGCCAGGTTGGACACAGGGGCTTGGAGCAAGCTGCTCTGTGGAAGGGGTCCCTGCCTGTGGCAGGGGTTGGAGCTGGAGGAGCTTTAAGGTCTCTTCAAACCCAAACTAATCTATGATTCTAAGAGCATGACCATGATGCTATGGACAGATAAGATACTACGTGCCACCAACCAGGCTTAAAGAGCTCTGTGGTTGCTGGTCACACATGGCTCTGCTCTACTGCCACTGCTGCAGCCAGGGAGGAGCAGGGCACAGCGCACTGCATTCCAAGGAGCTCCCTATCAAGGACACACTGCTGCAGCATCTCCCTTTGTTGTGTTGCCCAGGCAACACCTCTCCTGCCTCCTCACACATCCCAGGCCCTGTGCCTCCAAAGAAACACTTCCTCCAAGCAGCACCCGGATGGGTTTAGTCTGTGCAAGGTGGAGAACCTGCTGTTGCTTCATGCCTGGCCAGATTTTAGCTTATGCTTTGCTAAGGTAGAGCTGCCGGCAGCAGCTCTGCAGATTAATTCTGCTTGTTCAGCTGTGGTGGTTCCAGCCCAGCCAAGAGCCACCAGCCCCTCCTGTGGCTGCTCCCAACACCCAACCCCAACACACACAGCCCAAGAGCTGCAGGCTCTGCACATTGCCTTTGTGGCTTTGCCACAGGAGTGGCAACAAACTCAGTGCCAAAGGGCCATCTTCTGCCAAAAATGTCCCAAGATCTCCAAAGCGCCTTTTTCTTTTTTCCCACACACACATTCAGAGAAATGGTGTTTGCTCGACAAGAATGACCAGGCTCAGGAGGGAGAAGCTGAGCTCATCCGTGAGGCTCTGGGGTGTGATTCAGTTGGACTTGATATCAGCCCAAACCATGGTTCTACGAAGCAGATGTTTGTCTCTGCTCTTCTTGGACATCTGCAGCCTCCTGCAGCAGCAAGCTGCTCCCTGCCATGGCCTCGTGCCTCTTCTCTCTCAGGGGACATTTGCCTCACGCTTTGCTGATGGTTTTTCCCTGGGGACAGAAGAGTGGCAATGCCAGCAAGCAGCATCCCAGACTGCAGGGAGCATTTCTCTTAATTGAGAAGCAGCTGTTTTTTCCTGTATTTGATTACTGTAGCTAGCAGGGAGCAGGGGCACAGAGAAATGGGGTAAGGTGCCCAGAAACCACCTCTTTGGGGAAGAGGCACCCTGGAGCACAGCAAAAGCCACAAAATAGATCCTCTTGTCACCGTCATAAAATAACCCTCAGAAATGCTGCAGCACCAGCCCCGAGATGGCTCCAAAGCTCTCTGTTTGGGGCAGAGAAACCAGCTGAGGGATGATTCAGGCTCATCTATGTGGGCTGAGCACCTGCATCAGGTTTCTCTCCGCCATCCAGCACAAAAACATATGTAAAAGCCCCAAATACAACAGCAAAGCCCTTCCCTGCTAGCGCTCCCCAGGAGGCTGAGCTGCCCCAAGCCTCTTATCAAAAACTTGGCTTGAGCTCACTTTTTCAGCCAGGATCTGGAGCAGCCCCGATGCCATGGGGGGTCCCTGCCATGGGACGATAGATTGAATCCATGAATGATTCAGGAGTGGCTGGGTTGGGTTTCAGCCGAGGCTTCAACCACAGGAGCTGGGTTACCAGTGTCTCAGGTGTCTTCTTGTGCCAGAGGAGAAATGGAGAAGGCTGGAGATCCACGGGGATGAGCAGAGGGATGTGGGGAAGAGCAGAAAGACAGGAAACTGTGGGTGGTGGTGCCGAGTGTTACAGTCAGTCCCCTCCTCCTGTTCCACTTCCCCAGTACATCATCCCCTGAGCTCAGGGAGTTACCACAATAACCCAGCAAACACCAGCACTGTCTCCCTGCTTAATTCCCGCAGGATCGGGCACACAGGAGGCCCTGCAGCGCTCAGTGCTCTTGGACTGATGATGCTCTGAAGTCTCAACCCCGCTGCTGCCTGGATTTGCAGCACGGAGCATGGAGCATCAGGAGTCTGCTGGGTCTCAGCTGCTCTGACAGGCTTTGCCTGCTGCAAAGTCGCCACTGGTAACCAGTAATGGAGCAAATGGTGCTTGAAGGTTGCACTGGGGACCACTTCCTGGCCAGGCTCTCCCCCGGCAGAAGCAAAGAGGGAAAAGCAGCTCCGGATGGAGCATCAGCATCAGCATCCCCCGCCCCCGAGCATCACCCCGAGCCCCCTCACCTGCTGCCAGCTGCATCCAGGCACAGACCTTATAGACAGTGGCTGCGTTACAGAAGAAGAAGAGGCTGAAGCAGAGGATGGAGCCGATGATGAGGAAAGTGGAGATGCCTACGAAGAACATGGCTGTTTTGAAGGCGCTGGAGGGGATGGTGCCGAAGTCGAGGGGGCTGCCCTTGCAGATGAGCTCCCCGGTGAGCGCGTTGCCGATGCAGTAGGAGAAGAGGCCGAAGTAACCGGCCTGCGGCGTGTCGATGCTGTCACCGATCCAGTACGGCTGTATGAAGGTCACGACCATCAGGATGGAGAAGCAGAGGGTGAAGAGGGCCCAGAGCAGCCCCATGGCCCGCGCGTTCCTCACGTAGTTGGTGTGGTAGATCCGCGCCGCCTCCTGCGCCGGCAGCAGCTCGGGCATGGCGGGGGCTCACGCACCGGCACCGGCACCGGCACCGGCCCCGCACGCGGGCGCCCGGCGCTGCCCCGCCCCGGCGGGAGGCTCCGGAGGCGGCTGGACCGCCCCGGGGGGCGGCGGCGAGACCCCCCCCCCCCCCCCGGCACCGGCAAAGGGCAGGGGAGGAGCCGGGAGGAGCCGGCGCGACCCCGGTCCTGAGCTGGGGGAGCGGGAGGAGCCCCGGGATGAGGCCTGCACCGCCGGGATGTGCCCTGCGTCCCCAGGGTGAGCCCCGGCATGGGCCCTGCACCCCCACGATTCTCCCTGTGCACCCCCGGATGTGCCCTTGCGATGGGCCCTGTGTCCGCAGGATGCACCCGAGGATCTGCCTCTGGGATGAGCCCTGTAGCTCCAGGATGTGCCCTGTGCCCCAAGGCACATTGCCTCTGGGATGTGTCCCGAAGCTGTGCTCTGCACCCCTAGGATGCTCCCTTGGGATGTGCCCTGTGCCTCCACTGCGGGATGCACCTTGGGATGTGCCCAGTGCCTGTGGGCTGAGCCCTGTGTCCCCAGTGTGCGCACCAGGACCTGCCCTGGGCTCTGTTCAGGGTGCACCATGTGTGCTCTGGGGTGCACCCTGTGCATCACTGTGCCTCTCATAACATGCTGTGTTTGCTGGGTTGTGCCACGTTCCCCCAGCATGTGTGTCAGGATGGGCCTGGGCTGCACCATGCAACCCTGGGCAATGCTGGGATGCTCCCCAGGATGCGTGTTGCCTTAAATGTGTGCCTCAGGATGTGCCAGGGGATGTGCTGGAGCCCCCAGCATGTGCCATGTGCCCCAGAATGTCCCCTGGGTGCTGTGCTCCTGTGGCTGCTCCCCTCTGCCCTGCCTGCTGGTGTCACCAGAGTCTTCCTACACTGGGTGCTGCATCACCGTGGTGGGGGCTGGATGGCCTGTCAGCTCCAGGGCTGGCTGTAGCTGCAGGCAGGGAGGGGACTGCCCCAGAGTCCCATGTGGAAAGAGAAACAGTTCATGGGGCTGCCAAGACACCCCACAGCACCATGGGCAGCCCCAATGGGCTGTGGACACTTGCAGGGGACCTCTCTCCAGAATCACAGAACCACTGAACCATAGAATGGTTTGTGCTGGAAGGGCTCATCCAGTTCCAATCCCTGCTGTAAAGCTTCTCCAGCTCCAACCCCTGCCATGGGCAGGGACCCCTTCCTCTAGAGCAGCTTGCTCCAAGCCCCTGTGTCCAGCCTGGCCTTGAGCACTGCCAGGGATGGGGCAGCCACAGCTTCTCTGGGACCTCACAGGGAAGAGCTTCTGCCTAAGAGCTCATCTCAGTCTCCCGTCTGGCAAGTTAAAGCCATTCCCCTTGGCCTGTCCCTACAGGCCCCGATGAAGAGTCCATCTCCAGCATCCTTGTAGCCCCCCCTTCAGATACTGGAGAAGCCGCATCTGCCCCACATCCCAGGGGACCACAGAGGCATGTGCCAGCGCCATGGTCACCCCACAACCAGCACCAGCCTCAACATCACGCCTGCGGCCACTGAAGGCCATAGCATAAGCATTGCCAGGCAGGAAAAGCTGTGCCGTTCCCAGGGCTGTTTTCCTTTCATCAGCCGCAAAATAACCAGCAGTATCTGGCAGGACACAGGCCCCCATGGGCTGGGGACCTCGGTGGGCTCCAGAGCACCCAGTGAGGCCACACCAGCAGGGGCTGGACTGGCTCCTGCCACGCTTTGGGACTTCTCGAGCGGATTTCTTGGTGTCTGTGCTGGTGACGTTTGAGGGGTGGAGGATCTGATGGAGCTCCTGCCATAGCGCCAGCTCTCCCTGTGAGCCCGTCATCAGTATCCAGCACAGAGGGCACCTCAGAGAGGAGGGAGGAGTGGAAATTCCCACTGGGAAATGCAGGAATGCCGTCACTTCTTTGCCAAAGGAGGTGCCAAGGGGGATGTGGGCATCGTGGGACTGTCACGTGGGGACAGCCTTGGCAGCACTGGCCTCGCTGCCCCGATGCCACGAGCTGGGGTGCGATAGGAGCAGCCGCATCAGCTGACGGAGCCACCGGCTATAAAGCACCCGCCTGCCCCATGGCAAAGCCACAAGCGAGCCCACCATGGCCAACGTCCTGTACCCCTGCATGCTCCTGGCCATGCTGCTCCTGGCCGAGGCTGTGCCCATGGAACAGGAGCGAGGGCTCGTCTTCAACTTGGTAAGAAGGACACTGACCCCCACCCTTGGGACAGCCCGAGTGCTGCAACGGGGCACGGCAGGGGGCTTGGAGGGGTACGAGAGCAAAACGTGCTGCGACTGCGGAAACTGAGGTGGACGGGGATGGCCTTGGTTGGCTTCCTACGGTTGTGAGGGGTCCTGGAGCCTGGGAAAGCAGCTGTGTAAAAGGCGATGGAAGCCTGAAAGTGCACGAGACCGCAGCTGTCAGCTGCCTGTGCCAGCCATTCCCATTCACACAAGGAACGGGGACGGGGAACAGGCTTTCCCTGCACTGCCCCCGCCCTATTCCCATGAATCCAGCAGAAAACAGCAGTCAGAGGGGGTGCTGGGGCCTGAACACGGCCCCGCTGCAGGGTGGGAGGCTCGGGAGCGCTGCTGAGCAGAGGAGAGGCAGAGCTGGCTCCCGACGCCCCCCAGAGCGGGGGTCAGGAGGGAGCAGCGACCCGGCCTCACGGCGCGCCCCGCGGTGCAGGACGCGGGGGAGCTGTGTCTGCAGAGCGCGCAGTGCAAGAGCCACTGCTGCCACCGCGACAGCGGCCTCAGCCTGGCCCGCTGCGCCCCGAAGGCGGCCGAGCTCCAGGAGTGCTCCAGGAAGGTACGTGCCGCCCTGCGCCCGGGGGCACCGCGGGAACCGGGCCGGCCGCCCCCGCTGCACCGAGCCTTGCTCTCCGCAGAGCCTCTACGGGGTGTACTACAAGTGTCCCTGTGAGAGAGGCCTGTCCTGTGACGCCGACATGTCCATCGTGGGTGCCATCACCAACAGCGACTTCGGCATCTGCCAAGACCCTGCGGAAGCCCAGCAGTCGCGATGAAGGAGAAGACCCCTAGTACCCCGCCCCTCCCCCCCCCCCCCTTTTCCCCTCCCCAGGGATGCCAGTACCTGCCTGCACTGCCCCGAGGAGTCTGTCGAGTAAAGAGCATCTTCTACTGAGCTGCGAGCCGGCCTCTTCACTCCATCCATCCCTCCCTCCATCCCTCCATCCCTCCATCCCTCCATCCATCCATCCACCCACCCATCCATCCATCCACCCACCCACCCATCCATCCATCCATCCATCCATCCATCCATCCATCCATCCATCCCTCCATCCATCCCTCCATCCATCCATCCATCCATCCATCCATCCATCCATCCACCCACCCCTCCATCCATCCCTCCATCCATCCCTCCATCCATCCATCCATCCATCCATCCCTCCATCCATCCCTCCATCCATCCATCCATCCATCCCTCCATCCACCCATCCATCCATCCATCCATCCATCCATCCATCCATCCATCCATCCATCCATCCATCCCTCCATCTATCCATCCATCCCTCCATCCATCCATCCATCCATCCATCCATCCATCCATCCCTCCATCCATCCACCCACCCACCCATCCATCCCTCCTTCCCTCCCTCCCTCCCTCCCTCCATCCACCCACCCACCCACCCATCCCTCCCTCCCTCCCTCCCTCCATCCATCCATCCACCCACCCATCCATCCATCCCTCCATCCATCCACCCACCCACCCATCCATCCATCCCTCCATCCATCCACCCACCCACCCATCCATCCCTCCTTCCCTCCCTCCCTTCCTCCCTCCACCCACCCACCCACCCATCCCTCCCTCCCTCCACCCACCCACCCACCCACCCATCCATCCATCCATCCATCCATCCATCCATCCATCCATCCATCCATCCATCCATCCATCCATCCATCCATCCATCCCTCCAGCACGGGCTGGGGACAGGAGGGCCTAGGAAAAGCCACAGGGCTGTGATGGCTTTACCCGTATGTGTGTGCACATCGTACGTAACTGTACAGTAACCTGGGCCTGGCCAGCAGTGAGCCATGGGGTGAGCTCTGCTCAGGGGGTGCGTTGGCAAAGGGGGTGCAGGGGAAGCTGCAGCAGTGCTGGGATCAGAGGAAGCCTTTGGGTTGGGCCAGACACGGTTTATTGGCTCCTTTCTGGTTGGAAAAGTCCCGTAGAAAAGGTTTGTCACTGGAGAAGAAGGACTTGGAGGTGGTGTGGAAGCTGGGGGTGCTCAATGTGTTGGTGGTCATGTCCACCTCTGCATGCGGCTGGCTCAGGGACTGTAGCGACAGGACAAGGGGTGATGGGTTCAAACTGAAATAGGGCAAGTTCAGGTTGGATCTAAGGCAGAAGCTCTTCCCTGTGAGGGTGCTGAGGCGCTGGCACAGGGTGCCCAGAGAAGCTGTGGCTGCCCCATCCCTGGCAGTGTTCAAGGGCAGGTTGGACACAGGGGCTTGGAGCAAGCTGCTCTATGGAAGGGGTCCCTGCCCGTGGCAGGGGCTGGAACTGGATGGTTAGAAGGTCCCTTCTAACACAAACCATTCCATGATTCCATAATTCCATGATTCTATAGAATCTATACAGACCCTGCACTCCAGGAGCCTCCTCCTCCTCGGGGTCTGCAGACGAGGCCATGAGGATGCTGAGTGTGAGTCCTCCTTGGAAGGTGCCGCACAATGGCAGTGGCTGTACATGCCATGCAGGGGGATGGAACTGGATGATCTTAAGATCCTTTCCAACCCAAACCATTCCATGATTCCATGATTCCCCTCGTGTAGCACCTCCACCAGCAGCAACTCTGGGTGCAGGATGTGCAGGAGCTCTGGGAACTCAGGCTGGAGCTGGGGAAAGGCAATGGGGGGAGCAGCCCTGCAAATCCCCTTAACCCTGCCCTGGGCAGGGCAGCTGCAGGGGGTGATGCCCAGCTCAGAGCTGTTGGTTTGGGCATGGGAAAGGGATGCAGACCTGCTGGGGGGAATGAGGAAGAGGAAAAGGCACCTACCTGGAAGAACTGGGGGGGCAGCAGAAGGCGAGGGGGTCATTGCAGGGCGATTCTCTGGGGACATCTTACATGTTTCTACCCCTGGAGACAGAAGGAGCACCAGGCACCCACAGGCTCTGGAGGTGGCTCTGCACTGGGTTGGGGGGGGGGGGGAGGAGGGACAACACAGAGGCCAATTCCTGAGGATGCCCTGCAGGAAGCCTTCTTTCCAGGGTTAGGGCATCTGCCGCTGCAGAACCCCCAGGGGATGCAGGTGGGAGGGTGCCGCAGACACCCGCAGAGGGGTCCCTGCTGCGGTGCTGGGGACATGGGCGGCAGCTTGGGGACAGGGCAAGGGATGCTCTAGGGCTCTTCAAGCCCGGCTCAGCAGAGGTGTGAGAGGGTAAATGCTGACCTGGAGTTTAGTTCTAAACCCGGGGTGGGTGGCAAGAGCCTTGAAGGTTTTGGCATTGTGACTGGGGGGTCCTGGGCAGGAGATCACCAGGTCCATGACCTCAGGAGAGAAGCCCGGAGGAGGTTGAAGATGGGGAAAGGGACAGGGACAGCGGTGCCTCTCCTGTGGGCAGAGCGAGGGGACACAGGGACATGGGGAGACTCCCCAGCCTCACCATCTGCATGGGGTCCTCAGCCATTCCCCACTCCGGAGAGGCTGGTGTCACCCAGGAACACATCCTGAGGCTACCGGGAGCTCTGCCTGAATAGGACCAGATCTGTCTGGGGCTTTGCATCCCTGGCCTGGGCAGGATACGGCCAGGCCTGGGCAGAGGACCAGCAGAGGACCAGCACAAGACCAGCACAAGACCAGCACAGGACCAGCACAGGACCAGCAGAGGACCAGCAGAGGACCAGCACAAGACCAGCACAGGACCAGCACAGGACCAGCAGAGGACCAGCACAAGACCAGCAGAGGACCAGCACAAGACCAGCACAAGACCAGCACAGGACCAGCACAGGACCAGCACAGGACCAGCACAGGACCAGCACAAGACCAGCACAAGACCAGCACAGGACCAGCACAGGACCAGCACAGGACCAGCACAAGACCAGCACAAGACCAGCACAGGAGCAGCACAGGACCAGCACAGGACCAGCACAGGACCAGCACAAGACCAGCACAGGACCAGCACAAGACCAGCACAGGACCAGCACAGGAGCAGCACAGGACCAGCACAGGACCAGCACAGGAGCAGCACAAGACCAGCACAGGAGCAGCACAAGACCAGCACAGGAGCAGCACAAGACCAGCACAGGACCAGCACAGGACCAGCACAGGACCAGCACAAGACCAGCACAGGACCAGCACAGGACCAGCAGAGGACCAGCACAAGACCAGCAGAGGACCAGCACAAGACCAGCACAAGACCAGCACAGGACCAGCACAGGACCAGCAGAGGACCAGCACAAGACCAGCAGAGGACCAGCACAGGACCAGCACAGGACCAGCACAAGACCAGCACAGGACCAGCACAAGACCAGCACAGGACCAGCACAGGACCAGCACAGGACCAGCAGAGGACCAGCACAAGACCAGCAGAGGACCAGCACAAGACCAGCACAAGACCAGCACAGGACCAGCACAGGACCAGCAGAGGACCAGCACAAGACCAGCAGAGGACCAGCACAGGACCAGCACAGGACCAGCACAAGACCAGCACAGGACCAGCACAAGACCAGCACAGGAGCAGCACAGGAGCAGCACAGGACCAGCACAGGAGCAGCACAAGACCAGCACAGGACCAGCACAGGACCAGCACAAGACCAGCACAGGACCAGCACAGGACCAGCACAGGACCAGCAGAGGACCAGCACAAGACCAGCACAGGACCAGCACAGGACCAGCAGAGGACCAGCACAAGACCAGCAGAGGACCAGCACAGGACCAGCACAGGACCAGCACAGGAGCAGCACAGGAGCAGCACAGGAGCAGCACAGGACCAGCACAAGACCAGCACAGGACCAGCACAGGACCAGCACAGGACCAGCACAAGACCAGCACAGGACCAGCACAGGACCAGCACAGGAGCAGCACAGGAGCAGCACAGGACCAGCACAGGAGCAGCACAGGACCAGCAGGGGGCAGCCGCAGCCCGGAACCCCCCTGCCGTGGGGATCCCCCCCCCCAGCCCAGGGGCAGCTCAGCCTCGGGTGTGCGACGGGGACCCTGGAATCCCCACAGCCCTGGAGCCCCGCTTTGGGGGTCACCCCTTCTCTGCAGAGGGGGGACCTTGGCGGGGGAAGGGTCAGCTCCTGGTGCCTACGATGAGGATTTTGCATGTACCTCATCGTTGGGGTGTCCTTATGTTGGCAGGAGGAGGATGGGGGAGGCGGAAAGGTGGGAATGGGGTGGCTGTGCTGGGAGGGAGGGCACACATGAGCACACCCCCCCCCCCCCATCTGTCCCTGTATTTACTGGTGAAGCGGCAACTTTATTTTGGCAGCTCGGGACTGGTAAATATTGGCTTAAACCGACAGCCAGACGCCTGACTCACGGCGTCTTGACAAACACAGGAAGGGGCCCCCAGCGAGCGCGGGGTGCTGCCAGCCCCGGGGGGGCCCTGCGCCAGGGTGGGGGCACCCTAAGCTGAGGGGGGGAACAGGGCATCCCCCCTGGGGGGAATGGCACGGACCCCCCCATCGGGGACCTTGCCTCATCCTGGGGTGGAAGCATTGGGGTGCTCCCCCCGCACCCCATCGCCGCACTCCGCACCCTCATCTCCGCCCGTTCACCCCGGGGCTGCCCCTGATGTGTGCCCCCCCCCCGCCGCGGCCCTCCCCGGGCTGTTCCCCCGAGGGTACAGGATGTTCTCGCCTCCCTCTCCCCAACCTCCCTCCTCCCTCTCTCCCCCTTCCGCAGCCCTCGGCCTTCACCTCTTCTCCGCCGCGCTGCTTTAACCCTTCCCTCGGCAGAGCCGCCCGTCCTGCATCGCTCGTTTCTATCGAGTTTCACCCCAAAACAAGGCCGTGACGCTCCTGCTCTGCACATCCCGGGGGTCCCTGCACCCCCAATTGTCTGCGCCCCCCCCTTGTACAATGTAGCAGCCTTCCCAGTTGGTGCCCACCCAAAGCCCGTCCTTGCAGACCTTGCAGACCTTGCAGACCCCTCCTCAGCACACACAGAGCACCCCCAACCCTGCCAAAACCCCCCCAAAAAGGGTGTTGGGGGGGACGGCCAGCCCCAGGGAGGTAATTCCTGGGGGGTTGAACTGGAGGACCCCAGGCAGGCAGCAGCCCCATAGCACCCTGCTTGGGGCAGTGATAGATGGGGTGATTCTCCTGTCCCCCCCTCCAGTTTGCTGCAGATTGGGGTCATGCAGGGGCCTGATCCTGTGGCAGGGCTGGGGGCACTCATGCAGTTTGGGTTGGAGAGTGCTGGGGGTGCCTTTGCTTCGTGGGTGCTTGTGCCATGGGAAGTCACCCAAGGGCTGCACGGAGGCATCTGGGGGTGCACGGAGTAATTTGGGGGTACCCCAGAGGGGGGCATCTGGGGCTGCCCCTCGCTTTTGGCTGGAGGTGGCCACTTGTGGCTGCAAGGCAGGGGCTGTAGGGATGAAGCACGTCCCTGCAGGGTGAGGGGCAGCCCAGCCAGCACCCGGGGCTTGGGGCACTCCAAATCCCCCAGGAGATGCTCCTGGTCAGTCACCTCATGCCCCATCCCTGGCAGTGTTCAAGGCCAGGTTGGACACAGGGGCTTGGAGCAAGCTGCTCTAGTGGAAGGGGTCCCTGCCCATGGCAGGGGTTGGAGCTGGAGGAGCTTTAAGTTCCCTTCAACCCAAACCATTCTATGGTTCTAACCCGTGCCTGCAGCAGCAGAACCCTCACAGCAGGTCCACAGTGGGGTGCAGCCACACCACGCACCCAGCTACTGCCTCTTTAGGAAAACCCGATGGGGTTTTCCTAAACCTGGGCCAGGTTTTCCCAGGTCCCAAGGAGGTGGTTTGGGATGGAGCTGATGTCCCTTGAGCTCTTGCTGGAGGAACCTTTCTAGCAACAGCAGAATAAATATAACGGATTCATGAAAAGCTCTGGTTTGCCTCTTCTTGCCAAAACCAATTGTTGAAGATTTCTCCCGGCCTCTCTGGCTTTGCCTTCACATGTGACGGAGGGAATAGCGCCTGATGCTCTCCTGTTTTTCCACTCTGATAGTTTTCCCGGGGGAAGGACCCGGTGGGAAGGGAAAACCTCAGCTCTGGGCAACCCCAAAACCTGGCTGGGGGTCCCTGTCACTCCTCTGGGTTGTTTTTGGGCTGGGAGCACGGCCAGGTCCCGTGAGGGACCTGTTAGGGTGATGCTGTGGAGATGCTGAGGAGTGCCAGGAGTGGTGCTGGTGAGGTCATGGTGGGGAGGGAAGATGCTGGGGAAGGATGCCGGGGGCCATGATGGGGGGTGACGCTGGGGGGGATGCCTGGGGAGGATGTTGGGAGGATGCTGAAGGGGATGTGATGGTGGGGTGCCAGGAGTGATGTTAGGGGCTGATGTTGGAGTGATGCTGGAAGGGATACCTGGCGGGAAGGGGAAATAGGAAAAGGACGTTGGGGGCTGCTGGGGGAGTGCCAGGGTGATGTTGGGGTGACCCCGGGGGTTGTTGGGGTGATGCCGGGGGGTGGCACTGGCCTCCGCGCAGCTCGCCAGCAGCCCGCGGGGCGGAGCTGGGCCGCGGGGCCGCTCTGCCCGGGTGCTGACTCAGGCTGTTCCCGGCGCTCCGCGGCCGGTACACGCTGTCCCGGCCGGGCCCTGGCAGCCCGCCCGCCGCCGGGACGGGGTGCTCCGGGCGGGGGCCGCTCTCGACCCCGCTCCCGCGCGGCCGCTCCGCGCTCCCGGTGCGGCTTCAGGGGCACAAAATCCCGGAAGCTTCGGGGTGGGGGGGGGGGGACCACGACAGCAGCAGAGGCCTGAGCCACGCTGCTGTGTGTGCTGTGTGTCCCCCCCCCGGCTCCCATCAGCGTTGGGGCACACAGAGCCGTGTCCCCGGCGTGGTTTTGGGGTGCAGCTCCCTCCGGCAGCAGCATCCCCGTCGCACAGCGCAGTCACCATCCCCAGGGGCTTGCATTCTCCTCATCCCTGCACCCAGCACAACGAGAGGGACCAGCCGGTACCCTCCAACCCCCCCCGGCCCCCCTATCCCGGCGGGGAGCCCCCGCCTCGGCGGAGGCTGGTACAGTTCGTTACGTCCAGACCGGAATGTACTTTGTGTTAGAAGTGGCCGCCGGCCAGGACGCCGGAGCTGGACTTTATTTATCCTCCCTGCTCCGGCTCTGCGGCATCCTGCCCCCGGTGGTGTGGGGCTGGGGGACCCCTGGTCCATGCCTACTCACCCCCGACCCCGCTCTCACCAGCCGGGGGATCCGGGGATTTCCCTCTTTTCCTCAGCGGGGAAATAATCTGGGAAAACAGCCTGTTCTTCCAGCCCGTGTCCGGGAGGCAAATGGGGACTCAGGGGTGGATCCAGCCTTGGAAAAGCCTCTGGCTGGAATTGCCCCCGCCTGCTTGCATGCGTTTGGATCACAAAGCTGGAAATTTATGGATTGGAAATGCACAGGGAAAGGGGCAGCCCTGGCCACACTGGGGGACGGGGCAGGCACTGGCCTGTGATGGAGCAGGGGCTGCTCAGGGGGTTCCGGGGCAGGTCTCTGCCCTTCTGCGGCTAAAATCTCATTGCAGGAGCCGTGAATCGAGCAATGAGGGAGAACAGAACCAGAGGAGGGATCATCCCAGGTTGGATCCGGTTGCTCACCACCGGCCAGGCTCCATGAGGACACCAGCATCCCTCCCACCACCTCTCCAGTGGGAAGATTTAGGGAGGGCTCATGCAGACAGCAGCTTCGCAGCTGCTTTGCACCCCCTGGGTCAAGCATCCCCACACAAAGCAGGGGTGAGGTCCTGCCCTGCTGCCCTCACCCCGTGTCCCCGTATGTCCCGTGTCGTTCCCCCCCCCCGCCCGTCCATTCCCTGCCGCCGGTGCAGCTGCACCCACGGGCGGTGGTGAGGACACGGTGTCCTCCTGCACTCTGCTCCGGTTGTGCAACACCCGGCTGCACCTCCGGTAAACACCCGGCTTCCACCACGCTGCACCCCTGCGCCGGGCACAACCCGGGCCCTCGGAGCGGGCACGTACCGGGGAAGGGGGGTGCAGGCGGTGAGACTATGGCATCACCCGGCTCCCAAAAAGCTCCTTTGCTCCCCAGAATGGGCATTGGGCAGGTATCTGGCTGCCGGGGGGGGGGAGGAAGGATGCATTCGGGGTCACCCGAGGAGCATCCTGCGTGGGTCACCTGTCCAAGGCCACCGACTTACAGTCGGGGCCATCTCTTTGTGTCGTGACACGGGGAGAAAACCCATTTCCTCTGCTCTCCAACGCGCCCCCGAGTCACTGATGTGGCTTTTAGACGTGAAGCCGAGGCGGAGGGACGCGAGGCAGATTAACGCCGGTTATTTTTAGCAGAAGGCAAGGATGAATAAAAATATCCCCGATTTTTAGGTTTATTTCTGTTTTCGTCAGGAACTGCTGCTCTCACATCACACGAAGTGCTCGGGGATGGACGGTCCCTGGGATCTGCTCCTCGTTTTGGATGGGGGGCAAAGCTTCCCCCAGATCTCCTGTCCCTTCGGGGCAGAACATGTGCAGGCAGCTGGGGGAACAGGCAGTGTCCCTGGCAGCCACTCCAAACCCAACCGGGATTATTTATGGAACAGATTTCTTCCAGGTTGTGTTACAGGGATGGAGGGGACGAGGCAGACCCCAACACTAGGGTTCGGGCATCCCACCCCACAAGAAAGCAAAGTGAGCTGGTGCTGGCATCGCAGTAATTCGCAGATACCTGTTAAAACCCCACCCTGGTGCTGCTTTGCGCGTATTTTGAGTTTATATTGTATATTTTTAATGCAAACAAAAATTGGGGTGCAAGGACAGTTGGGGTGCTGGACCCCTTCACTGCTGTTGTCGGATGTTTCAGAGCTTGGGTATTATCTGATGGGCCTGCACGAAATTCCTGATGTTGGGAACACCCAGTATTTCTTTGGTAAATGGGAATTTAAAGCTCCCGGGCAGGAAATGTGTAAAACCCGGTAACAGAATTCATCCCGGGTTGTTTTAGAGCAGGAAAAAAAAAAGAGAGACGTGGTGAAAATAGAGCTCTTTATTTCCTGACGTGGGCTTTGATTTGACCTCTATTCCCAGTGAGTGCCTAAATGACAGCACGTGCCCCATGTTTAATTGCAAGCCGCACGTTAGTTCTAACTCGGGGGGCGGGGGTATTCTAAGGCAGCTCTTAACAAAAATCTCACCTCCTTCATACTGAACGGAACGTTTCGCCGTGCCCCTGCACCCGGCGTCCTCCAACCCCGGGCAGGGCGGGAGAGGCCGCTATCTGCGCTCTAGGGCTTTCTGTGCCCCATAACAAGGCCCGAGGAGGTTACACGGGGATGGGGCACCCCCTCTCCGCGCCGGCGTTGCGTGGAGCTGGTTGGTCCTCAGCGATGCGGGTGCCCTTGAGGGGGTTTTAATGAACAGCCCCCCCCGGGACACTGCTCAGGGCTGGGGGTGCCCTTGAGGGGGGTTGAACGAACCCTCCCCGGGGCCGCTGCTTAGGGCTGCGGGAACCTTGGAGCGCTGCACGGCGCCGAGGCGTCCTTGGAGCCCTGCATGGCGCCGACACCCCCCCACCCCCGGGGCACCGCGCGGGGCCGGGGACTCCCCAAGAGCGCTGCACATAACGGGACCCCCCCGCAGGGCATCGCCCGGAGCCGGGACCCCCGGGTCCTGCCCTGCTCCGCCTCTGGCCCCGGCGAGGGCGCGGAGTGGGCGGGGCGCTCAGGCACGCCAGAGGAGGGGAACACGTTCTGATTTGCATACCAGCACCACGCTAGCCAATGGGAAGGCGCAGCGGGGGGGCCGTCGGCAAGATTGGCAGGAGGAGCTGCCAATGAGGAGCGGGCGGGTGGGCGGGGCGCGGCGGCCGGGGAGACTCAGCCGGTACTGGCGGGCTGGGTCACTCGGAGCCGGGCGGTGGCGGCAGCAGGTGGGTCCGTGCGCCCGTCGGTGCCCCCGAGCGAGGTGCCCCGGAAGGATCGGGGCTGCCGAGGGCTGCGGGGCCCCGCGTGGGGCTGCGTGGGGCCTGTGGGGCTGGGGCGGTTCCGTCTGAGGCTGGGGAAGCGCTGTAGGGCTGCGCGTGGGGCTGGAGAAGCGCTGTAGGGGTGTGCGTGGGGCTGGCGTGTGGCTGCGGGACCCTTCCTGGGGCTGTGTGAGGCGTTGGGTCCTTCGTGGGTCTGGGGAGTCGTGTGGGAAGGGCATGAGCACAGTTATTTGTGTGGGTTTTGTGTGCTGTTTCCTTGGAGGTGCCGTGGGTTTGGGTCAGGCAGTGATGCTGCGACTTGGATATGCTTAGGTTCTATCTCCAGCCTGGTGTTCCCCGAGCAGGAGTAACTTCCCAGGGGGGCTCAGTTTTGCAGCCCAAAGGTGGGATGCAGGGGTCCCTCACTGCGAATACTAGAGACCCTGTTGGGATGCTGGTCCTTGGCCCTGCTGTGTTGTAGGTGATAACAGCAACACACACAACGCAGGAGGATGAAGGTGAGGGTGTGATGGAGCTGGGCGCCCACAAGGATGGGATGCTGGTGGAGAGGTGTTTGGGGAGTTTTTTGGGGGGTTGGGACTTGTGCTGGAGGAAATGTGTGATAGCGTGAGGAAAAAAAGCCTTAAACCAACAGGTTTCTGGTGCAGAGTTATCGCTTCTGCTGCAGCCTGCTGGGAGGTGACGGGATGTGGCCTCTCTTACAGTTTCGGGCTTGGAGGATGGAGTGGGACTGGTGCTGGAGCCGTTTAGGGGGGAAGGCTGGTCCAGTGTGGCTTCTTGTCCTGCCCGGAGCAGAGATGGCTGCTGGCCTGGCAGCTTGTGCTCTTACTTTTCTTCTTTCTTACACAATTAAATAATCATAGCTTCCCAAGGTTGTATTTGCCCAGCACAGGCTTGAATTATGTTGATCTCCTTTCCCGGCGCTGTTAGAGCATCTTTCTGCTGGGATGAGCCAGCAAATAAGGGCAATTCCCAAGTAAAAAACCAAGTTGCATCCTTCAGGAGTATCACTGCTGTGTAACTGGGTGTGTTTTAACTGCCAGCTTGCAGATTAGCTGTAAAGCTCGAGATGCTCAGCACTGAGACCCTGCTCTGTCCAGCCACAGCTCCCTGGGCTGGCTCAGAGCAGGGGAATGTTCTTGAAGTGTTTGAGAACAATTGTTCTCATTTGTTTCTACTTCTATACTGTTTAATATTTTATTTTATATTCACTCTCTCATATATATGCATATAAAGTTGTTACAGCCCCTTGAGGGATCACTGGAGCTCGTGCCAGTCTCATGCATACATATCACAAGGAAATAATAAGTTTCTTAGCAAAGTTGGGGGGTTCTGTGTTTATTTAGTTTAATGTGGTATGTTTGTGGGTGTAAGGAAATGGCCATGACTGTTCTACTGTACGAGTTGTTCTTCTCATGGCCCTGACAGGCTTTTTCTGTAATCGGTAACTGTGACTGCAATCAGGATTTCTGCTTTTGCTAGTGAGTGTGTTGGAAAATGAAAAGAATCGGAGTAAAACTGTCAGAAGTGAAGAGGTAGGGTGAGGAAGAACTGAGATTAACTCTTCCTCTGCCCCATCTGCATCAATGGTAGCACCGCTTTTAGGAAATTAGCCTCTTTAAATCCAAGAGTACTTGAAATGGGAATATTTCTATCATAGAATGGCTTGAGCTGGAAGGGACCTTAAAGGTCTTCCAGCTCCAACCCCTGCCACGGGCAGGGACCCCTTCCATAGAGCAGCTTGCTCCAAGCCCCTGTGTCCAACCTGGCCTTGAACACTGCCAGGGATGGGGCAGCCACAGCTTCTCTGGGCACCCTGTGCCAGCGCCTCAGCACCCTCACAGGGAAGAGCTTCTGCCTTAGATCTAACTTGAACCTCCCCTCTTGAAGTTTTAACCCATTCCCCCATGTCTTACTGCTATTTATGTTCAATTTAATCACTTAATTCAGTATAAGGAGTTGTGGGACGCACCACCTCACCAAGAGCCTCATCTCTGACGTGTGACCCCCATTGTGGCTCCCCCCTCATCCTTCAGCAGTTCACGTGTGTGTGTATGTGTGTGTGCACTCATGTTCACATGCATGTTTCCACTGGGCTGGTGGGAATGAGGGTGACCTGGTGGGTGTGTAACATTGTCCCCAAAGCCACAGCATTCTCAGCATCATCCTGACCCCCGAGTACCTTGCAGGGTCCCCCAGTGACGGCAGTCCTGGTCCCCCAGTGTCATTTTGGCCATTCGTGGCATTTCCTTCTCCTTTCCAAGAAACCCTGATTTGGCGTGGGAACAGGCTGGTGTTCCACATGCTGGGAATTGTCATTTGCGCGATGAAATCTGGCGTTTATAGAGCCCTGGTACACACATAGCTTCATAAAAAAGTTCCTGGGTGCCAGGTTATTTCTGGCAATGCCAGATGCCAAGTTGGGGATCCCTCCTTTGGGATCTCAGGATGCTGCCAAGTGCTTGTGCATGGGGATAAGTGAGAACATAAGGATAAAATACACATTCCAGCTGCTGTGGGTGACAGTGACTGGGTGGAAAGTTGTTTGGAGTCTGTTGCAAGCAATGAGATGATTTTAGAAATTAAAAAAGATGAAATAAATCCAAGTTCAATTGTCAAATTTATTCTGAAAAAGAAAAAAGGCCAGATTAAGACAGAATTGGCAGACAAGGTGTTCCTTGTTTATTCCCATTGGGTTTTTATTTTAGTTCCCCCAAGCTGGTTCTTAAAATGGGGTTTGCTCGCAATGGTGTAGCTGCTGCCAGGAGGATACTCTATGGAGGGATCAGTGTTACCAGACTGTGCTGTCCAGGGAATGGAACTTCATGTTTTATAGCCAGAGGTGGAATATTTCTTTCCAGTGTCCCGAAAAGCCTGGCTAGGTCTGTTCTCCCTGCTTGCGTTGACCAGGGGAGAAGACACGGTGAAAGGAGCCTGCACATTTTCAATGGCAGAAACCCCAGTTTGAGGTTGCCAGGGAGTGGGTCGCGGGATGTCGAGCACTTTCTCACTTTTTAGGGGTGGTTTATGTAACCTGCTTGACTATATTACTGTATTTTTTCCCCTCTCCAGTTACATAATCCTAATTTCTGAAAGCATTAGGAAATGGAGTGCTATTCTGTGTCTGGATAATGGCCTCTGAGCTTCTTCGGATGCTGCGATGGGCCCCTCTGCCAGCAGTCTCCCGGGAAGCTGAGGCAGGGCTGAAACAGCCCATTCTACACTTACTATTACTGGTTCTTAACTTATTTTTTATGTTTTACCATCATCTGAGACCGTGTTAGCTCCTCCAGGAGTGGGGTGGGTGCAGGCTGTTGCCTCTCCCTGCTTTGCTGCTGGCTCCGGCATTCCTGGGTTTTCCAGTATTTCTGGGATGTGCTACCTGTGGCAGAGTCTTGTCTTGATTTTTGTGCTGGGAGCAGCTGAAATCCTCAGGGGTAGGAGCAGAAGAGCATCAGTGTGTAAAACCCTTGATCGTGTCCCATCCTGGTACTTTCTCCTCTTGAAAGAGCAGCAGCCCATAAATGTTTATGGCTTTTGCTTTTCCCAGCATATGTTTGTGGTTTGGAATAAAGGAGAGGGAAAAATATATTGCTTGGGGGTTTTTCTCCATTTTACTTTAGAGGGTGTTGTGTCTCTGGGCACTCACACTGAGGGGATGGACCACGGGCTGCTGATGGGATGCTTGCTAGAGAGCCAAAACGAGCTTTATCCCTGCATCATCTTACTTGAAGCAACCTGGAAATAAATGATTTGCTAATAACCAGATTATCTTTAATGGGTTTATATTGTAAACTGTGGTTGGGGGGCAACACCTTGTTGAAAGCCTTTTGCATGTTGCCATGGCTCCTGGGGGATGCAGAGGGGCTGAACCCATCCGTCTGTTGGAATATTTATCCTGGCAGGGAGCAGCAGCCATTCTGCTCAGTTGTTCTTCTCGCTGCAGCTGAAACTTGAGGGCAGCCTCTTCTTCAACATATTTAAAAAGGGAAAACCAATCATTTATGACTTGGATCTTAACTAAAACTGCTTCAGAAGCTCAAAAATATTAGCTGGGCAAAATGATTAGCTAGGCAAGTGTGATGGGAGCACATGCTGTTGTATTTAAGTTAGCCTCATGCAGTAGTTCCTTTCGGTGTTCTCTTAATTGCTTAAAACTCTTCCCTTGCTACCTCTCTTCTGTTACAGCACCAGCACCTTCTGGTCCTTGGGAGGTGGTGGGTGGGCACATCCCTTTCCAGGGTGTCCCGCAGGGCAGGTGCCACTGCGATGCTCAAGGGATGCTTGGCAGGTACCGGGGTCTCCATGGGCAGGAGTTACCCCTGGAGCAGCAATCATGGATAACCTTTGGTCCCTGGATCTGTTACGGTTTGCCCTGGCCAAGATGGAGGTTCGTCAGGGTGCTGGGCCATGAAAGCAGCTCTATTTGTGTTTTGGCTTTTTGTTTGAATCAGAGTGGCCGTGATGGGCCCAATGCTTGCACAATGTGCATGCTAGGATGTAAATCAATCCATGTGAGTCTTAGATAGAGATAGTTTAGATTTAATGGCTTCCCTATTTATGTTAAAGAAGGGGTGGGAAGTCAGAAACATAATTAATCTCAAATTGAAGCTGTGATGTATGAGTGGGAGAAGTGGCACTTGATGTCTGAGTGCATCCTGCTGTGTCGGGATGGGGCTGAGGGTTACGTGGTGCTGCTTTGGTCGGGTTTAAGAAGGTCATGTTTTCTTAGGAATCCCAGTTTTAATTTATTCCCAACTCAGACACCATCTTCCTGGGTCTCTGCTTCTCGGGCTTGTGTTCCAGGAGCCTTAAAACACCCTTGTCTTGGGGAAAACATTGCTCCGGGCTTCCCTCTCCCGCAGTGTGGGGACTGTTCACTCAGGAAGCAGGGTCTCTGCTCCCAAGGAACAAGGGATGGGACAAGAGGAAACGGCCTCAAGCTG